TCATTTTTTGAGGTAAGCATTCTCATTTTGATTTGTAATCTCTATATCCTATACTTTAAATCTACACTGATCGTAGCAGAAAGTGAAACTCCAATTGAGAAGTCAGTAAACAGGAAGTGATATTCAAGTTTCATATTTTTTTTACATCACCTTCAATTATTAATTATAGGTCAATAAAGTCACTACTTTCTTTTTATCTAAGTAAACCAAAAACAGGAAGTAAACTTCATCGAAATATCTACCGATAAAGCTGTAAATTGTTAAATCTTGAAGTTTTGAACGAAGAAAATCAAGACATTAGTTAAAAAAAATACTTGTAAGTAGAATTTCAGTAGTGAATTATCTGTGTGATAGTATTTGAAATAATTTTATCTGTAAGCATTTTTGCATCGAAAAAATAAACACCCGTTACTTAACAGGGGGATAATTTGTTTGATAAGGAATGTACAAATATATCGCGAAGTAACACTTTATCCCTCAGAATATTTAAAACTAGCCTTCGAATCAAAACAATTTAAGACTAACAAAAGTGGAATTTATAGTTCAAAAGTGAACAAACATAAAACATCATTTTATACTTTTCGAATGAGTTTAAAAAATATCGTCTCTAGCAGATCCACACAAGCTTAATGGAAGTGAATAAGTTATCCAAAAAATTCTGAATTTCTGTAGTCTTTTTTGAAAGTAAGACCTAAATTAATAAGATCCAGTTATAAAAATTAGACAAGAATAATATAGTGTAGAAAATACCGTCCGTCTTCAATAGGGTAGGTAGGCCAGCCCACAGGGGGCAGAAATGTTCATCAGTACGAGTTCACACATGAGTTGAAATTATAATGTCGATTAGAACAACAAAACAACAAAAACAGATGGTAAGAAAATTTAGTTACAGAACCAATATTTATGTGTCACCCTTAGCACAAGTACCAAACTTGACTCAACACAACTGTCAACCATGCGGAACATTCTATTGAAAAATTAACTAACTGACAATAAGAGAAAACCAAATATGTAACATTCATTTGTAAATGTTTGAGTAAATATTAAAAAAATTTCAGCATTTAGTATGATCACGGGCAATAATTCTGTTCGAAACATTACGGAAATAAAAACATCATTTTGTGTGAACTTGTCATTAAGATTTCACACTAAACAGGAAAATGTTCACCTATTGAAGCAAGATATAGTAACGCTGTTGATCGCATCAGACGTTTTTATGCACGTTTAGCTGAAAACTTGTTGTCATCAGACTTGAAAAGTACTACCTATAGTTGATTTTCCATCTCCATCTGGTCATATGAGCACAGATTTTCGTGTACTAAAGGACAATATCATCAGTTGTTGCTTTGCATGCTAGTTTTATATGTAAAATCATGCAAACAAAGTGCATTAAATGATCTTGCCTGTGTTCTTCCGTCGTTTTCTGACCGAACTGATAGGTCTTCGTTGGCATATGGGCTCCTACGCTGATGCCTTGATATCGCCTATATGTTTAGTTTTAATATTATACATTAATAATACCTAGCAGTGGAATCCAGGGAGCGCTATTTGTCCCATTTGGGACTGGTCAGCTGGATATAGCTGCCTCCCGGTGATCAGTGTGAAAATACAAGCAATACAGAGGTATCCGCATGGGAGCTCACGTGTCAATAAAAATTAATCACTTTGCTCCAATTAGCGACGAGATAATACTAGTAACATCATATTAACTATATCCATCGTACGAGAATTACGTATCGTAACTCAGAGGCCTGGTAGATAGCTCTCTGGCCTTTGAAGTCTTGAACCTGAGTATTAATGGGAACAATATGCCTCGCCGGGAGGCAGAAGCATCAAACTGTTGAGTTCCGAATATGACAAAATGTTCATCCTAGATCCTGCTGCGAGTCACTACCCATCATTAAAATGTACTAAGGTTTAATTCAGCGGATTTCAATAGTCAGCTATTGCAGTGTACGAGACTTTAGGCAATGTTTTGTTGACTGAAGAGCGAAACTTGACCAACACGATAAGGTATGATTCACTATTAGCTGATTTAATTTATTTTCAAAGTACAGACTACTTCCTTGTTAACTAAATAAATTCATGAAGTGTTAAATTTAAATTTAAATAGATAATAATCTTTTTCTTTATTCTATGATATGTTGATTACTTAAGCAAACAAGAACTCACGACTTCGAGTTCAGGTTAAATGGTTGGGATGCTGTCGTCTTTTAAATCTATATTTATAAACTTGAAGAGATAAACTACACCCATAATAAATACATAAAAGTTCGTGATTTATATTAGAAGCTATTAGAAAAAGTGATAGTTGAAAAGAAGAATGATTAAATAAAGAAAGGTTTACTTTACCTAAAAGTAGAATGGTTGTTATGACCTGCTTACCTAAGCTCATATTAAGTTTGCGCAAAATATGAAGATAAGAAATATCGATGTATACTCAAATATATCGGTCAAAGCAAGAATAACAGCTGGTAGATAACCGTTCAGTGATACAAATATCCAACATCTTAATATTACCCGAATTTTAATCATATGTCATTTAAGCATATTACTCTACCCAGCAATGGATAAAACGTTTAGTCTTCACAGTTACTGAAATGAGTACCAATTCATCCTCCATTCATCAGGAAAGTTAAAAAAGTCAATCAACCTAACCTACTCATAAATAATGCTAGACTTTCAGATTTACTTTTTTTCACTACTAAGTTTTTGAGATATTTATATAGAAAGATAATAAATCAACAAAATTTGTTTTATTTATCAGTATTTTTTACAGAGAAATATAGATAACCTGCTATCACAACAAACTGAACATATATCGGTATTCGAAAAGATTCGTATCTACAAAAGATGACAGCTTTTAAGAGATAAGACAGTGAAATTCAATCTTCATAACACTAGTGACATATAAGTGAATGAATGAACCGAAATTAAGCCAGAACATCTCATTGTAATATCTTAAAAGATGAACAGGACACCAAACGTTTATAATGATAAACAATAAAGTGACATCAGGGGGCTCCGTTTTTCGTACTTTCAAATTTGTTTTCAAGAGGCATATATTGATGTGAACCATTGTTATACCACAGGAAATAGAGAAATTGAGAATTTAGTGAAAAATTAAGTAACATCCAGATACCTTAATCTGTGTCATTTAAACAAAACTTCCATTGTAAGTCGCAAAAATCTGATCGAGACTGGATAACCAATCGACAATAATTGACAGTTAGGCATGATCCTAAGCCACAAGTAATGTAGACTCCTCTGTTTAGTATAACGATGTCAGACGTTTATCTGAACTTGTTTCGCTTATTGAAAGCTTGGATTTTGTATAATATACAATTTATTTTCATTTCACACTCGGAATTACTGAATTCATCCTAAGTTTCTTTCTTCAGTTACAATATGCTTCGTGTCTAAACGCCACAATTAAGTCAATTATCTTCCTCCCTGGAATAATGCATATAGCAATGAATTGATAAAACAATATTTATACATGGAAACTGATCAGTTATCTTAAAAATGTAATCTAAAACCGTGAAGTAGAAGATCAAGATGAACATAGGAACTAGCTTTGTGTTAACATAACATAACATTATCCACAAATAATTGCATGTTACTTGTTAGTATACACAGTGGCCACCTTTATAAATTCGGCGGATAACTTGGTCACAACCACGAAGAACCTCTTCAGCGTCAATGATTTAAACGAATACGGAAAATGTACAAAACAAGTATTTTGTCTGACTTTAGCCTAATTCTCAAGAAACTATGAGGCTGCATACAAATTTCCCGATTTCTGTTGGTGTTTTCTTGTTTAATATTTTACGGTGGTCTTTCGGCATACAAGGTCCCTAGTTTCACTCGATCTCACTGAAATAAGATATTTTACAGAAGCCTATAGTCTATACCCACTCCTGATTCCTCTTCTAAAAAACGGCTTGTTTCTCGCATAGTATGTAGCTACAAACTATCGATTATGCTTTGAAGCGGGAAGTAAAATCTCCCCTTATGTTTTTAAATATCATAAAATGATTAATTATTTTTGGAGGGATCTTTCATTTTAATAGGTTATGACATAAGGTTATTCAACAATGCATCAGTGTCTAAGGAAAACAAAAGTTAAACCTGGTACATAACTACTGTGAAATTTAAAATCAGTTTACATACATAAATATACTTCATAATGAAAATTTATCAAGCAATTGTTGAATGAACCTTTTTTCTGCATATCTTACCTTTAGATCGTATATTTTATATTGATACAGACTATCACAATGAGAAATAAGACTTGAATCTATCACTTAACTAAAGCCTTATACACAACATTATAATACCAGCCAACTGGTCACTTGCAAAGAAGATTAAGTGCATTCTAAGTCATTCTAAAGTGATATGAAACCAGAATGTTAGAAATCGACGAATGAAACAAATTCAATTAATTTTAACAGGAACACAATAAGATCGATCAATATTTTCATTCTTGTGTCCTTTGAATTAAACCCCTATACATATATACATACACAAGCATTTTTAATGATTGATCGACTAACATTACCTTGGAAGTTTTAAGTGAGTTGATAAGTGAAAGTACATATTCATAAAATTGTACTTCTGTGAATCTGACCTTCTTTTTATTCTTTTGTTAGATATCACTTAAACTTTAAATTCAAACGAACTACATAATTAGGATATTTATTGGTCACTTGACAGTCTACAAGGCCCACGTAGTGAAATTTGGGCAGATAGACATCTTCTCTTCCCAGGGAAAAGTGATCAATATTCTCATAGAGTAGACAGAAATTATAATGTGATTAGCAGTACCGCAATAAATTTCAGGGGATTTAACACCTTCTCCTTATGAATGACGTTGAATGTTTAGAGTATGGTGACACATCACCATTCCCCTTCATCTCAACTCAATTTTATTCTACTTATTAAAAAGGTAATGTAAACATCACAGTAAAGTAAGACACTTATGTGATTGAATAACTTACTTGTAAACGATCTAACGCTATTGCAATAATGCTGATTGTAGAGACAAATATATTTGTTGCTTGTCCCACAGCCACAGCCTTACACATAATCTGACCTAATTTCCAATCATAATGCCAATATAATATACGTAATAAATTAAATGGTTGTGTAAATAAACACAAGATAATATCACTTATCGCTAGATTGACGATGAACAAGTTTCTTGGTGTACGCATTTTAGGCTTTCTAACAACTGTATAGACAACAAGTAAAGAACCGCATGAACCAAATACTATCATTATTGTGTATATACAAATTAATAGAGCTAATTCACTTTGTTTAAGTAGATTATGCGAATTTAACTCAGTTAGTTCAATAGTTAAAATTTGTAGCATCTCTGCATTATGATCTCCGCCAACACAGTATTTCACATATTTAATCATTGCTTCTAAATATCCACTTGATGTCAACTCTGGTACAGTGGAGCATAAACTTTCAAATCCATATAATGTCTGATTCGGATTTGTACTATGCTCCTCACTAACTGATACCTTCAGTAATTCCGACTTCATTGTGATTATGAGTATCTAAGCCATAAATAACGATATCTGAGAATGGGTTAGGTCAAGTAATTAAATACATATATCACAGTCTGATCACTTCTGTATATTAAACAGGAGGTTTGTAGCATGTGAATCTGAATCATTGTGGTAATTATGATAATTTCAGAAGTTCAACAAGGGAAAATAGATCATGTATATTTCTTCTTTATCTCTGAGCCATAATAAAGTGCAAAACATTTATGTTTGTTGTTCTGATGTAGTACACACTAAAAAATGCTATTAGCTGTCTCTGCTGTTTATTTCGTACTTATTCAGCCAATCAGACAGTAATTACTATCTGATTGGCCCATGAGCTTAAATCAAATAACAAGATTCCATCTCTTTGTTGTTGCATCCTTTCACGATAACATCATGGTAAAAAAAATGCTTTCCTGGTAACAATAAACGACATTATCTGTATACACTTCATAACACCAAGGAGAATGAAAATTATGACTTCATTATGGAAGCATATCAACTAATAAATGATATGAACCAAATTTGTCTTAATGGTTAGCTGAAAAGTGGAAGTTCTCCAATGATCTTATCAGGTGCTTATTTCAACCAGAGACTAATTGGCTTTTAATATTTGCAGTTCATGGTTATGCAGATATCCTGAAGTCTTGCAAGGCTTGAATTCACTACTAGTTTTTCTCTTTTACTTGTTATTCTGTTGGAAAGTAGATTTTGAATAATTTCATTGGCCTCTTACTTATGTTTTACTTTCCTAACAGTCAATCAAAGTGCCCATAACAACAAAACTTGCATGATCAAGTGATAAGTTTATAACAGCCAATAAAGTTCTAATTTCTTCTGTAAAGAGTTTATTCCAGCTTTCGTAGCTAAGTCTATATAAACAAGAGAAATTAAAAAGTTCGAACTAAACCTTATCAGAAATCCTGATAAGAGAACAAACCGAACACTTCAAATAGTATTGACTTAAATGACTGCATGATATTCCCTATCGAATACTGAATGTCTAACATGACCTCAAACCTATACCTTAGTTTTCTGCATACAACTTCTATCAGAATTCCTCCTTTCTGAAAGTAAACATCATAAAGCTATTTAAAAAGCCAAAATAGAAGAGTTTCGATTGTTTTATTACAGAATATATTGTTCAAACTAGAGGATAACAAGTAATCTAGACAATGTTTTGTCTGTTAATCGTTCTTAAATTCATGTAAACAACTTTTATAACAATAATAATACACATAATGTCGATGAACTTATTTTGCCATATCATTTTTTAATCAGGATAAAAAAAACTGTTTTAGCGAGATGAGTTGCATGTCTTAATTACAATCTTCTTCACTTTTAACTTTTAGTGTTCAGGATTTTTTTTTAAAGAAAAAATATATATGAGGCGGGGTTGTAGTTACTTGCTCTGTATTATTTTGTATACTTCTAACAAATATTTTCATCAAGGACTGCTTAATTATTATTTTTAGCAATGGTAACCATTATATTTCATAAGCTTTATTCTTTGAAATTGCTTGTACTTATTATTTTGTCCTATGAATTATACAAATATATACCCTTGGGGATATGCAATTAAAAGTAGTGCCCTTCTTTCTGTATTTAAAACATGAAACTGACTTTGGTTTCCTTTACGAAATTATTTATTGTACTCAGTTTCACCATAAGTAATTTGGTGGTCTGTACTTTGATTTTCAATGTAAATAAAATATGTCCTAACCTTTGGAGAGAATTTTCGGTGATATATTTACGTCGGTAAGAAGAACATTTAAGTGGAAGAGTTTCAACTGTTTCTTTTTGAATATCCATCAACAAGTGTACAGTAGCTGGTCTATGTCAAAATTTGTATGCATAGAGCATTTTATGTTATAACCTTGCAATCCTTTAATATAAGTGTAAAACTTGGGCACTTTGGTTGAATGCAACTCCATACTAGATTTGTTTATTTGATATATAGCGCACAGTGATACAGTATTATTTACTTGATTACGTTTCGAGCATAAATTATTGCTCATAATCATATGATATGATTATAAGCAATAATTTATGCTCGAAACGTAATCAAGTAAATAATACTGTATCACTGTGCGCTATATATCAAATAAACAAATCTAGTATGGACTTGCAATCCCTTGTTAAACATTCCTTGAAATAAACTTTCTACTCTTCAGTAGGATAAATTTATTAAAGACTACCCAATCATAAAACAATCTAGGTCACCTGAGACGTAATTTGACCACTTTCAAGTAACAATCACGCTGTCAGCTCATTTAATATGCTAGTATCAGCAACCTTCTCTGTTGAACATGATGTTACAAATTCACTACCAATAGAATTTACTTAAAATAAACTTATGAGTTGATCCCTCAATGACGATATTCACAAATTTATTAGATCAGAAAAGGAGAGTCAGAATGTGCAAAAGATGGTAGAGTTTTTCGATTTTGAAATAGAGCTTCATCACCTTGCTTTGCACTTCTCCTCATGCTCAATGATACCTCTATCGTAAAAGGTGGTGATGCAAAGTATTTCGTAAAACCTTACTGCTCATAAACTAGTAACAGTATTTTGAGTTTACCTTGGATCGTTTAAAATTTAGTCGCATGGTGTTTGGAAATTCATTGTATGCTTACTTATTTCTATTTAAATAACTTTAATTTTATAACTATCAATTCCACTATGAAATTAGTAATACCTGCTCTTCCAGTAGAATCACAACCCTCCGCTAAGCAACTGTATAATCTTCCCTTTATTCCTATATAAACTGACAGGAATTCAGGATTGAGCAATCCTCCCCTAACTCTGCTATCCTGCATAATCACAGTATCTCTCAGAATCATTCAAACTTTAACCCTTCAGTTGTCTTGTACTGCTTTGATATAACATTCGAATAACTTCCAAAACTTCACGTTATTGGCTCACGATCGAGAATTATGAAATAGAACGAACTTGTCTTTTTGCAGATACTGTCATTTTTGATATGTCTACGTTTATTGTTCAAGCCAAATCAATGTCAAACATCATCGCTAAAGCATCTGTATCCTTTCAATAAGCAAGATAACTGGTATTTAACACCCTGGCATTATTACGTTGTTCAAATATAACGTTAATAAATACAATCAGAATTAGTTCAGAAAGAATAATGCTAGTAATTTCGAAAAACTGAAAAACACAGCATTAAATAAAACAGAATAGTTAAAAATGTGATGGAACGAAGACAAATAAACAATCAACCCTCTTTATATCTCTTAGCATATTTTAAGACACGCAAAATCTATCTCATTTTATTTAAATTCGTAACTTTTATCAGCAGTTAGGTGGTTCTCTTTTGGAAGAACGGACATCTTTGTCAGTTCATTAGATGATTTTTACCGAATTCGTTGTCACCGAAAACGTTATTCCTGGGAATTAGAAGGAAGGCTTTTTTACCAGGCATGAAAAACATATCACAGTTTGCAACTTAATCCTTTAAAGTCTTGGAAATCCATTAAGCCTACCAATTTGAAAAGTCTCGTCATTTGATGTTTTGCAAGCCTAAAGATACAACTGCAGATAAAGGCAAACACAGTGTTGTCCATAAACACTATACCGGCTATGATGCCCATCTTCTATGTGCTCGTTCAAGTTAACACCAAATAACTATGAAGCGTAACAATGTCTTTTCGCTTTTAAATACATGGAGACAATAATAGACTTTAACTTGAAAAAAAAATATAGACATCCCGATTATGAGGAGTGAGAAACATCGAGGTACGCAGTCACTCATGGAGAAATTCCTATTGCTAACTACTTTCTCAGGTTTCTTCTGATTATGCTCTTTTCAATACTGATGAGAGATTATTAAGTCGTCTAACTCAAAAAACACAGCACAAAATCAAAAAAATCTTGAGCATAACTAAATAGAATGAACTATTTAAAAATACATATACTGAGTCGTTGCGCTTCTGAATTGTTAAAGGAAAATCTTTCTGTGGCAAGCAAACAGATCATAAGTGGTTAGCCAAAGACTATAAACTTTCCTAACTATCTATCGCTAATCTATTACGTTTCAAGTGAAGGTGTCGGTGTAGCTCCACTAAACTAATTATTTTGATGAAAGGTGGATTTGACCATCAGATACATTTTATTGATCAGTTTAGAAATAGGTAACCTTTATACAGTTTTCGGAGTATTAAACTCTTCTCTCTTTTGAAAATGGAACTAATACTGAAACTAATCTGAAATACATGATTTCGAGATTATTCAGTTTGAAAGTATGTGCAGGTTTATTGATGTCGTGATGGCAATCATCGCAGACTTATATCAGTTGGAGAACCACCGAGAAATTGAGGGAACTGGGTGACTGATTTATCTTAACATACAACTAGTCAGTTTTGTGCAAACACGACTCCATCTAGAGTCTACTGTAATGGACCCATAACAGAACGAAACAGCTGCTCAGTGCTCCAAGGTTTTAAGTAATTCTCCAACGCCCAGTTGATAAACGATACCATCCTGGTTTATTGATAAGTGAACCCAAAACCTTGATAAGCATTTTTCATGATTCTCATTGCAATTTCAATGGAAATATATAGCTAACACAGTTTCCTATGTTTCCAGTCCACAAAGATGAATAGACTGAAGTGAAATGATGAACGTACATTTTGAAAACTGAACAATATTGAACTGAGATTAGAAAATACTACCCACTACTTAAAGTATTCTCAAATCATAACTGTGACTATTTGAGATTTGACAGACTCAGACTGTTGATAGTTGTTGATGACTGAAGGTGAAAAGAAAACGTGGGTCGTGTCAGGAGTCATAAAAGTGACTTCTAAGTTATTGGCTCGATGGTCTACCAAAAGAACTAACAAACCCAGCCGCTGAGCATATCTTAATTACACTTCACTCATCAAAAGTCTTGTCCAACTCCCACGTGAACTTGCAGTGCCTGATTGTGTGTTCATCGTCTTGGTTGTATTATGTTCTCTGAGCAGGGTTGTTTAATCGTGAAGCTTTCATCGCCTTGCTAGACGACATCATCAGCACTAACTTCACCAAGAAGTGAGCTGTCAATATCTCTTTATGAATGATTTAGTAGCTTGCTCTGACGATGTGGTCTGTGAGTGGTTGTTTCCTTCCATTGTTGTGTCATTGATTGTATAGACTTTCCTGTTGGCTGTTCCTCTACTTCACTTCTCACCTTTCTGTCCTTTATCATTTTCTTATTGGTTGATAGATTGGGTCTATGTCTATACATCTACTGATCGCTAAC